TGTGGTAATAAACATGACACATCACTACACACTACTACATCAATATCGCACGCATACATACTCACAATTGTCGGTAAACAGCGGATTTTTGGAGTTTGATCTAGGATTTAGGATCCTCTTAAAGATACCACTGACACTGACGAGTCTACTTTATCGACCTCGTGCAAATTTTTCCGACCTTCCAGCATCGCCTTAACATTATGATATTAAGAATAATTTTTGAACAATTTTTATTGTGTATGTAAGCGAAATTTGTTAAATAATTATTAAATTGTACGACTATAAAGGGTTTTTAAATGTTTTTAAAGTATCTAAACATATATTTCCAAATATTTAGAAATACTCAATTTCACTATACATACGTTGTTTATTTAAAATACTTCCAAGAAAAAAAAAGATAGATAAGCCTCCTCTTGTCTGATTAAAAAAATGTTTTAATATTATTTCAAATATTTTATAAATGTTGCTCTGGAAATATGAACACATAACATCATTTACAACAATATTTTACTTTCATTCAATTTCTAGATGTGCGTCCAAATTTGTTCACAATGACGCATCATTTTATACATTAGACATTATACAACATTAAGAACAACATTTACTAAAATTATTCTGAAATTTCTGTGTCCCTTTTCTTTAGTATTTTTTTCTTTTTTTATCATCTTTATGATTATTTTAACAGATTATACTGTCGCGCTCACTTTTCTTTCTTTTCAGTTGAGGGTACGCTGGAGGAGCCGTGGTATGAAATGCCACCTGCAGTGTTCACGCAGGAAGGACCCGTGAAAGTGGCAACTTCGCCCATGGAAAATCTATTGATAGAGCATCCTAGCATGTCCGTCTATTCCGTCGTGTCAGGGACAATAACATCTCCTATCGCACCAGACACTCCGCCTCCCTCACCGGACGGATGGATGAAAAGCCAAAAAGATGTTGGTGTGTTACATAACGCTGATGTTTTTCAAGAAATTCCTGCAGTACCGCCAGCTGATCTCTCATCCTCCACAACCACGTTGTGTACCATGCCCACATCTTTAGATAGCAGTTCAAATCGAAATAACATTGACGAACTCTCACGCAGAGTGGTTGCAGAATTGCAAGCCATTCATAATGACAAATTATCTACGTCTGATAGCAATAACAACCAAGCTAGAATTGGAAATCAACTTCGTTCTGCTCAGGAACGAGCTCAGGAGGTATGAATTTCCCAAATTCTCAAATATTAGGTTCTTATAAACTGAGAAAAATTATTGACTAATTAAATATCAGGATAAATGGAATGTTACAAACAATTAAGATGGGAAAATACCAACGGTTAAAATGGATCTTGATGCTCGATAATATTACAAAAATATTGAAATTTTCAAATATATCACGAAAATAAACTATTAAAAAACTATTTTACAAATAAAAAATTCATAATCTATTTTAGTGGGAAAATATTGTATATTAGACGATAAATATTTTATAACTAACAACTTCTTTTATGAAATATTATTAATATATTTTTGGACGAAACCAATTTTGTTTAAATAATTTGATTCTGTTAATCATTTTGCGTGTTATTAGCAAAATTAAAGATATTAAAATAAAATAATATATGCATTTAAGAGATACTCCATATTTTTTATATATACATTATAGTTTTAAAGGCTGGAAAGAAAATCGGTTTTTTCAATTTTTTCGTGGATTTTTTCAGTTTCTTTCTAAAGGGGTAGAAAAATTCAATGAAAAATTTCACGTACATATTCATAAAACCTATCACATTTCACATTTGCAACACTTTGATATACTTTTCGAAATTTTAAAATTTTATGACAAGCATATATTTATTGCTAATAATGTTAAATACAAAAGAAATAAAAAGCAAATTACACAAGAATAAATAAAAAAAACTATATGGCTCTTGACAATTATCATTAATAATCAAAACTCTTTAAAAATACTGAATATAAATATCAACTTAAATTAATCTTTACACTAGTTATTAGGATTGCGTTTCCTAAAACAGTTTATTTAATAATAAATAATCCTCACCTTAAGGAATATAGTATTCAAATGTAAACATAAATATTAACTCATTATTAATTCCAGCGTTTATACGAAGTGTCTTATTTTAACAATGCTATAAAATACGAGAGTTATAATTTATACGAGTCATAAGCTTATATCTAATTTAAACAAAAAATTTACACATTTTAGCGAGCAAATTAAAATAAATCACATTAAGTCACTTACATTACTTTCTGAATTCCAATTCATATTTAATATGATGAAAAATATTAAAAATTAGGCAGTATATTGTTTACATAGCAATTTTTCGCAAAAGAAAACAATTTTTTTTTTAAAGAAACCGAAATTTTTCTAGTTTTTTCCAGCAATTTGAAAAAAGCAATTTTTTTAAAACTATAACATATGTAGGTACATATATTTTGAAATAAAAATTCATACAAAGTATATTAGGAAAAAATATTTCTTTAATATTAATTTATCTTCAATATTTTATATATAGAATAATGAGATGAATTAATTGATATAAATAAATATACATATAAATGTATACAGACTTATTTGTTGTATATTTTGTTGATAACATTTAGAATTGAAAATAGTATAAATACGAATAACGTATTTGAATAAGAATTAGAAAGTGATGTACTTGAATAATAACAAAGTAATGAAATGATAAATAAAAGAAAATTATTCATATACTCTATACCTATAATTATATACAGGATGTTCAGCATAACGGTTCGCAGGTATAGGTCGGTATCCATAAACCAATTACACAGTCATTATTGCAATTGGCATATTAAGACATTACTTGATCTTGAAATAAAAGTAGAGTGTGAATACTGGCCATAATGTAATACAATTATCACATAATAGATTTTACAGCTAAAATTTAAATGACATAAGATTTATATATAGAATAACACGTAACATTTTACTTTAAAAATATTTCACCAAATTATAATACATAACAATATTATTTTATTTTTTTCGTTTTTGAAAATTGAATATATTATTATCATATACGATTTTACATATACTTCATGTAAAATCATACTCACAGATATAATAATAAACAAAATAAAAAATAATGTTTATTTTTAACATGTATTTTACGTAAACTTAAAACAATTACATTTCATTCTTTATTTTTTGAAGAAAATTATATCAAAGACATATTTTATTTAACAAAATAGTATAATGCAATGAGTAAAAAAGCTTATGCCTCATTTCAATAAATGTTATTTGACGGTGACGATACTATTCAACTGTTTATTTCACTGTTTAATCTCAAACATATTGAATATTACTTGAAAGGTGAATTTCTCATGAAATTAATTTGTTTTGATCATGTTTGAATTGTGAAAAAAATATTGAAAATGAATGAATACAAAAAATTCATTTTAAGCATATTATACTTCATGTTTAGAAAAAAATGAAACAATTGGAACTGTTGTAAAAATATTGAGAAAGCTTACGAAGATTGAACACAAAGCATAAGAACTACAAGAAATGATTTGCAAAATTTTGACATTAATTTTGACATCAAAAATTAGCCACGCTCTGGTTGGCCTTCTGGCATTGAAAATGACATTGTGTGCAATTTAGTGGACACCAATTCCAAAATTTCAACAAAAGAGATTGCTAAAAAGCTGAATGCTGATAGATCGATACATTTCGGCAATTAAAGAAGATTGAATATTGTTCAAAACCTGATGTTCGAATAAGAATAATGTTTTATGCAAACAGATTTGAAGAAAAAGAAAATAAACCCATGTCAAAAGTTAGTTTCTACACTGAGAAAAAAATTACTTAAAACAAATAAATATGTTTCAGGTACCCCTCAAAGAAATAATTTTCTTGAAGCAAGTAAAATTTTTTTATTTTAAATAAAAGTGTTTGCACTGAAAAAAAAATTACTCAAAACAAAAAAATTTTACTTGCTTCAAGAAATGATTTTTTTGAGGGGTACCTGAAACATATTTATTTGTTTTAAGTAATTTATTTTCTCAGTGTAGAAGATGATGTTATCTGATATTATAAAGAAGTCCTTGGAAGAATTCTTTTGAGCTATTTTCCACTGGCTAAATGTTTAATTCTAATAAGTATTATCAATAATTTAAATTAACAATCCAGAAGAACTGGCACTTTGATATACAATAAATCTAGCGCAAGTTTAGAAAGCTGAATAGATTTTCCTATTGCATTCTCCGTATTCTGATATCGCACTATCCGATTATCATTTTATTCTGATTATTACAAAACATTATGAATAGCAAAAAAAATTTCCCACTCGAAGACTTAAGAAACACTTTAAAATTATTTGACAAATCGCTAATATCCAATCGTAATATTGGAAACAGATTACAGAAAACGACGAAGATTATTTAATCAATTAAATAAAGACTTATATTTTGCCAGATACCTAGATAATTTTTAATAAAAAATCGGGCATGAACTTTTGTAATCTGTGAATTTTTATTCAATATGTCATGGTATAATATAAAATCTGATTGTGAAATTAATTTTTATTGTAATCTTTTTTTTGCAGCATTGACTGATTTTCTTATTATTAACTCTCATCACATTTTTTATAGTATTTATATAATTAATTCCTTTTTTAATTAAAAGTTTCTAAATTTTTATATTTAAACATTGTCGTTAAATATTCACAATTTTAAATCATTAAATCTTATGTTTCTCTTTTCTGTTTTTAAGTTCTTAAAATTTAATTTGAGAATTTAAATTGTCTTTTTAAATATTTTCAAAATTTAAATGATAAATAAAAAGCAGCAATAAGCCAGGCATGATATTGATGCAAAAAGAATAAATTAATAATTAAAATTAAATATATACATATGTATAATAAAAGACCCAAATATTTCGATTTATATTAAATCATCCTCAGTGGGTTAGCAATGCATTACAATAAAATGTATAAAATTATAAAAGTATAAATTATAAAAAAATATAAAAGTAAAAATTAATTCATCAAAGTTTGAAAAATCGCTCGCAATTTATTGTCAAAGACTTACAATACAAATGAAAAATTCTTTTCTCCAATTGATCAATATTTTTTCACACGCAATCCGTAGTAATAACATGGGGTTTGGACAAATTTAAAAAAATAAAATTGTAAGTATAACTGTCAATGTGTTAGTGGCAGTAAATGGACAGCGACAAAGGAGCCATAAATGCATCCCATTTTGTATTAAGACTTGTATCAGCAAACGAGAATAGAAGAATTTATCTCCACTGAGGATGGTTTAATATATGTAAATCGAAACGTTTGTGTCTTTTATTTAATTATATTGTATTTAATTTTAATTATTAATATATTTTTTCTTTTTGTACCTGTGCCTGTCTCTGTGATGTGAACATCGTGCCTGTCTTTTTTTAGTTTTCATTTAAATTTTAATTATTTGAGTCGAATTGATACATACAATTAGTTATTTTTAAATTAAAATATTTGTATATTCTCTCTTTGCAGGTGCTAAAGAAGCGCACAACTCAGAATCTGAAGAAGGCCCGTCTAGAAAGAAACAATAAAGTGCGTCAGATAAAAGGCAAGCGACTTCGTCGCCAAGACCGTTTACGTGTTCGTCATAGTGGCGCGAATAATAATCGAAAATGCTAGTCATCCGATCTCAGGTCAAGATGTACTTAAGTTTCTTCCTAAAATGACCAATATTATGATATATAGTTATTCGGTAAAATACTTTGTTTCAATGGCGAAAAATAGAGCGATATATTTATAAGAATTGTGAAAGTCCAGTAAGCACACATGTTAACAGTTTACCAATAGATTTGAACAGAATATTGCGACAAATCGACATCAATTGTATTTGTATTAAGCTCGCATATCTTACCAGCAGAGTACCAATATAGAAACTGAAAAGAATTTGTTATTCCGTAATTATTTAAATAAAATATATTGTATTTAAATGATTACGAAATGGTTTATTTTGCTCAATTATTATATTCTGTTAGCACATTCTGTTATTTCTACTGGCATTCTGTCGATAAAATTTGTAGCAGACTTTATAAAATCTGTTTTCGACAGATATGGCTATCTGAGAAATTTGTTCATTATGAGACAGAGAGTTTAATAGCCTTAGAGATCTTCAAGTAAGAATTTGATTTTTTATATCGAATATGGTAACAATGTTTAAATAATCATCAGTAAGTAAAGCTCACTGATTAGATCAATGATTGATATGTAGAAAATAATGAATTATCAATTCTATTCAATTACTTTTTTGAGCACAAAAATGAGAATAATTATTTTCCATAACTTTTTTTAAACATTGAATATGATCTTGTTTATCAAAATGCTTTCTTACAATTTTGAAAAAATTTATGGTTAAATAAATTACAAAAAAATTATTTTAATTTATTTGGGCATATTATCTATGATATATTGGAGAAGTTTTATTGTAATCAAAATTAAATATGTTATTGAGACTTTTAGTTTAAAAAAAAAAATTTATTTGCATCAATTATGATTAAAAAGTTCTTTGTAATTAATATGAAAGCTATTGTATTGGCCTGTGTAAATTGTAACTTTGACTAAGATCTTATATTAATCATAAATATATTTTTTTAACACAATCAAGCAACAAATTCCTTTGGGCAAGAAGTCGTAATATGTAGCAATAAAATTTCTTTAACATATTACATATCATAATTGTTATATGTATATCAAAATTCAGAGTTGCCACAGGCCTGAAAAACCAGAAAAATGAAAAGTCATGTAAATTTAAATTGGTCAGGAAAAACTCGGAAAAATCAGGAAAAGATATAAAAAAGTCTGGAATTTGGAACTTTACTCAATTTCGTTAAAGATGCTGAAGTCGTCTGTTTTATCGTCGAAACGCGATAATTTTTGTACATAATTGTTTCCGTTTATATTGCTTTTTCAGATTTGAAAATCCTTTTCCAGAAAGTATAGATAATCGGAATGACAGTAATAGAATGTGAATGAAACGATTTTTTTTACAAAATGGAAAAAATTTTGAAAATTACGGTTTTGTTCGATTTATTATTGCGATCGAAAATATTTGAACATTTAGCGAGATTAAAACTTAGTTGAAATAATTAAAAACAATTAATTGATCGTATAGAAATTTCTGCAGAAATCTTTCTGTTTTTAGAATTAAGTTTTTATTTAATCCCGAAGCAACGGAAAATTCAGTTGCACCAAAGAAATTTTTTTCTGTGATTTAAAGCACAATGTCGAAACGACAATGTTAAAGCAATGTTAACAATTTGACATAAATGTGCATTTGGAATTATATTACGTTATTAAATTTCTAAATTTGTGTTGCTTCTAATAATATAAATTATTTATTATTATTCTGCAATATCTTATAAACATTAAAATTTAGAATTATATATTTGATACTGGTTATGAAAAATTTTCCACTGTCGGTCGTCTGAAAAACATGGAAAAGTCAAGAAATTTCAAAATTTATTTTTTGTGGTATTGAAATAATCCTTTTTGCAGCTTTCATCGCAAATTTTTTAAAGATATTAATAATACTAGAGAAAGAACTTAATAAACAGGATTGTATTAAAAACCAAAAAACTATAGAAAGCGATAACTTTCATTCTTGTGCGTTCTTTTTGAACAGTATTATTATATGCATGGCTGTAATAACTTAAACATGAATTATTAATGATTTTTAAGAACTTTTTTGTAAATTATGAAAAGAAAACATTATATTCAGTTTAATTCTTTGAGATAAACTAGATTAAGTAATCAAAAATTAAATTTTTACTCGAGGGTCTCTAATTTTATTTTAACTTTTAAAAAATCGAAATATAAGGATTAATTTTATCATCGATTTATAATTGTATGAATCAAATAGCAAAGCATTTTTTGAAACTAACTTTAAACAGAAATATGTTTATTAATTGTTAATATCAATTTTATATACTGCATTATAGATATAATGCATAATGTCCTCCTCATTAAAAAAAAAACAAATCTCGAAGACAAATGCATTTTACATAAAAACAGCATACATAAAAATTATTTAGTTTCGAGAGAAATGTTTTATGAATAACATATCTATTATTTATAACAATATTAATTTATGAGATTTTTAGACATTTTGTATTTAAGAATTTTGCTAAACTTTTTCAACGTTTTAGACATTGAAATATGTAAAGTCACTTTGTTTGAAGCTATTGAAGTCCGAAGTTTGTGATATCAAAAATGCAGAATGTTTAATACGTTAAATTCAACTTGAAGTTTGATATATTAAATTCACTCAAAGTAATTAAAAAATGAAATTGGTTTTTATATCGAGCCTTTCAATTATTATATGTATAAAAATATCAGCATTCAAATGACAAAAAGGTCAGAAATTTAAAGATTAACAACAAAACCAGCATGATTAGTAGTAACAATGTTTGTGTTATTTATGTTCTTCTTCGTTTTACTTTATCATGACTGGTATAATTTATGTGAAAATACAAGGGTTTTGTAATGCCAAATATTATAACGTTTTTCACCCATTTAAATTTTTTTTTCGTGTAAAAAAATGATTGCTGAAAGATCAATTTCTGCATATTTTTAGTAATTTTACAACACCCTTAGCAAAGATGTCAAAGGATCTTGCACAAAACTGCTGCAAAAAGCTGTTCTAACACTCCAAGAAATATTCATTAATGTGATGCTAATCAAAAATATTTATAAGCACGACACTCAATAATCGACTTATTGTTAGTCGACAGCAGCATCGGAAAGGAAAATCGAGAAAATGTATCAATTTTCTAGTGATACGATTCCTATAAGCTATAAGAATGTATTTCTACGTTTCTTTCAATGTATTTCTACGCTTCTATCAGGTGAACAATCGATTATTGAGTGTCATGAGGACTTTGATCAGCATCACATGAATAAACATTTCCCGGAGTTTCAGACAATTTAATCAAGCAGCCTTTTGCCATTCAGAGGAAGGTCTTTTTAGAGAAAATTTTAGTTTAATTGCAGTGATTTTTCACATTTTTACTGAAAAATTCACTTTCAGCAAAATTTCAGCGAATTTTCAGAAACTGTATTAAAATACAGAATGCCCCATGGAAAGTTATTAAAACTAATCAGCTGTTATTTTTAAACGCATATAAGGAATAGGAAAAATAAAATGTCTTAACAAAGGACAGTTCAGTTTTATTTATTAAAATAAAGACGATCGGAAATATTTTTATCATTTAATAAATGTTTATAAAGCCAAGTACGGCTGATCTTTAAGATACATATTTTCGAGATGCTAAATTCTGAATATATTATTCAGAATTTGTATGTATATCATATATTTCAGAAATTAAAAATATTATCAAATCTTTTGTCAAAAGTAATGTTAAATCAAGTTTTCTTTTATGTAAATAAAACTACTAATAAAATGTTCTCTGTTGAAAGATATTTTTCCTATTCCCTATTTGTCTTTAAAAAATGACAGTTGATTAAGTTCAGCTGTTTTAATTTCCCATGAGATTCAATGAAACTATTACAAAATTTTGCTAACTTATTCACCAAAGATAAATTTATTTAAACAAATAAGAAGAACTTTAAAATCTTATAAACAAATCTATCTACAACAAATTTACATATTTATAAAATGTTTCTCTTGAAATCAAATATTTTTATATAATAGCCATTTTAATACAAATAAATTTTTTTTAGATATTTCTTTGTATTTGTTATAACACATAACGCACATACGCGCGGGTATACACACAACACATGCATGTGTACATGCATATGTTTTACATATAGATTGTATATATGCGTGCGTGCGCGCGTGCGCGCGTGCGTGCGTGCGTGCGTATTATACATATATATGTATTTTATGTACAGGTTGTCTAATTTTAAATAATCCATTAAGATTTTTCGAAAACTATGGTATGGAAAAATATTTCACACAAAAATTATATGGTTCAGAGAGAGACATAAGGTACCATTGATTTGACCTTATTTGATGTCGTTAAGATCAGTTCAAAGTTACATTAATTTTTTAAATGAAATTATATTTTTTACATATAATATCTAATTGTTATATAATTGTTTATATAATTGTTTATATAATTGTTTACATAATTTATATAATAAAATAACTATTAATTTCTTGATAATGGTAGCTGATATTTTTAGAACAGAATAGTTTTAGGTACAGAATAATGAGATAAATCAATTGTAAATCAGTTAAATTATAAATCAGTGTAAAGAAAACAAACATTATTTTTAAAAAATATGTAGTTGCATGGCATATTGCAAATTACTTTTTTTTTTTTAAGCAACTGTGTTTTCTTTACATCAATCGATTTATCTCATTATTCTGCGCCTGAACTATTAGATGCTTAAAACCATTATCTAAAAATCAATAATTTATCAGATATTTCATATTTTATATCGAAATATGGCACGATAAAGTATACCTATATAAAATATCTTGTAAGGTATTGATATTCAATAACTTACTTAACCTTAATACTATACCTTAATACTTTTGCAGAATAATTATAGAGAAATCATATTATATAAAAAGAAATATAATTCCATTAAAAAAAAAATCGATGTAACCTTGACTTGAACCTTGACTTGAACCTTAATCAGCGTCAACCAAGGTCAATCAGTAGTCATTGTGTCTCTCTCTGAACACTATAATTTTTATTTGAAATATAATTTTTGTTTGAAACATTTTTCCATATCAATCATAATTTTCGAGAAATCTTAATGCATTATTTAAAATGGGACATCTTGTATGTTAGTTATTTATACATATAACAATGTATGTGTATGAGAAAAATGTATCGCTTGTAAAGTGTGACAAATCGCAACGAACTCAAAGCAATACGTAGTTTTCATTTGTTCGCGACACATTAAATGATTAAATTATTCTGTTTTTAATGTTTCAATACAATGCCAGTATAAGTTAGTCAGCATGAATTAATTCAGAGTTTGTTACAACGAAATTTTACTTATCGATTCGATCTTTTTCTAAGCATGAAGAAGTATAAAGTAAAATTACTAAATATAGATCGGGTACACCTTCAGGTAATTTATTATATTAAAATGATTATTGTAATTTTTTATCTAGTGGTGCATATTATAAGATTCTTTATTTATAACATTTGTTAGTTTGTGTTAGTTTTATTAATCGCAATTATTTCTAGTTTATTAGTAACCACACTATACACTTTAATATCATTAGATAATATGACGTGAGACGTCAATTCAAATGTATATCTTTAAAGATTTATTAAAAGTTTAACCTATAAAAATTGTCTTATAGCTTTTACAAAAAGTAAATAAAATTAAATTTTATGAAAAAAAAATCAACATTATACTCAGTTAAAATTGAAAATATTTTATATATAACCTGATTTGCAACAAGACTAATATGGATCTAATTGGATAATGTGTATTATTTAACATTTAATTAAAATTAAATTATATAAAATATTGGACTGAAATTAATAAAATTATTCATAAATTAAATATGTTATTGGTCATCGATATCTTTTTAACTTAGAGTGATCCAGAGTGCCCTATACATTTGCTAATGTATTATGTAAGCTAATGCATATATGTGTGCGTGCAAGCATGCGTACGCGCGCGCGCGCGTGTGTGTATGTATGTGTGTGTGGGTGTGTATGTGTGTGTGTGTGTGTGTGTATGTATGTGCGCGCACATGCATACGTGAGTGTGTATGAAATGGTCCAAGAAACTAAAAATTTAAAGAGATAAAATAAAAATTTTGAAACTTTATTCAATCACTTTAATCAATTTTAATTACTTCAAAATATAGAACATAATATGCCATTTACTTATAAAATAAATTTGCTTATAACCATTATACATCTTCAAAATGACATTCAAATGATCATCTCTTGACTGTATGCATTTTTTGCACTCTCTGAAGTCTTTTTATCACAACTTATTCTTGCAATCTTGAAGTACTGATCGATGAACTTAAAACAAATATTTGTAAAGAAATTGCAAACAATGCAAACATCACAATTGAAATGTTGCAAGAAGTCATGAGAAATTTTAGAAAAAGTTTGCAAAATGTATACAATTAAGAGATGGTTATTTTCAAGATATAATGGTCATTAAACGACGCAATAGCATGGAGATGCCAAGTACATAAAAAGAGTAAGAGTAATTTGTAAATAGCATATTATAATGTAATTAACATAAATTGAATGAAATTTCTATTATAAATTTTAATTTTATCCATTTAAAGGAATGCTGACGCGACAAAATTCTATAATATCATTGTTTTACCGACGATTTATACATATGTATGCGTGCAATGTAATAATGTATAATGTTCGATGTGTTTATGTTCCACAATCAATATCTCATCACTCATGCATACGTACGCACGTAGAATAGAAATATAGTTTTATTTAGGTTTCTAACTTTATTTTAATATACATTCATTTCTTTATTGTACATTTGACTTTCATTTTATTTTGAATATTATAATCTGAATTTTTCTAAGAAATAAATGTTTTTGTAAAGGAGAATACAACTTTTAAATGTTTTCGCTACCGCTCAGAGATCGTTTTATTTTTACATTTTCTTATTTTTCTTCGTAGAAATTATCATTATAATAATGACAGACTTAAAAAAAAATTAGAACATTGAAATGAATAAAATTCTTATTTGCGTCGTTGAAATGCTATCAGTTATATTTTAATGATTTAAAAATTAATTCATAATTGGGCCAATTGCCAGTAATATTGCAAAAGTTAATAAGATTATATTTTTACTGTAACATTTATGACAAAAAAAAATAATTATTCTTATGAGAAACATGAAAACTTGAAACTACGATAATACATCAATTATTGCATTCCAATTAATTCTTTTTACAAA